GTGGGAGACAAGAGCTTTGAAGTATATCAGGGGATCAAAGGAGTATGTTTTATCCCTCATAAAAGCTAAAATATTAGTTGCAGAGAGATGAAAATACTTCCTTCTGATGGGGCACTCTGTAGGCTACATGGGAATATACAAACTATATTTGTGGCCTATGTAGAATGCCAGAAAAAATGCAGGAAATGGTTATGTGGCACTGGAGTGCGATAACGGAACAGTGATTGGCACTGTCACGATCCGATTGATGCGCTTGTATCGAAAATCCAATCCCCGACTTGGTGATTCAAGCTGGTCTTGGTCCAATTGACTTTGGGCAGGTCAGCACCCAGAACATCCTGTGGGCGGGTACAGGAACACCCCACAGGGTCAATTGGCCGTGGACTAATGTCCCGCCTACATCCATATCCCTATAAATTGAGGACCCGGATATTGTAATTCGTACGGAGCTGGTTCGATCGACTAACGGATTACGGACTTTTTCTGACTTGCTCCAGTCGCAGGATAAATCAGGTAAAAGTTTTATTTCTGTTTTCGCTTTTATTTTATAGTGAATAGTCAATGTGTGTCTTCTTGTATTTTTTGTATTTTCTTTAACTTTTTATACTTTATACATATTTTATGCACTGCCCACTTTCGGGATATTAAATCTTAAAATTAATAAGTGACTTCTGTGTATTTAAGCATGGGCTCATATCTTCGGAGAGATTAGATTGTATTTTATGTTAGTGCCTTTATATGCTCGGTCAAACTCATTGCCAATCTGTATGCAATTGCACTGCGTGTTGGCAGATTGCGTGCAGATTGTAAAGGTAACAGATCTGCCAGACGGAGATCTGTGTGTGGGGTGTCCCAGCAGACCGTTCTGCGCAGATAAACTGTTGGGTGGTGGCAAGCTACCGTTTGTGGTGTGTCTGGTGTGGGGGTGTGTGTGGACAGTGGAAGAGTGATTAACACTGGGGTTCTAGCTGTAGGATAGCTGGAGGGATCCTAGAAGGGTGTGTGATTGCTAAGCTGCTCCTCAACTCTAATCAGTGCACCAGATTGTCTGTAAGATTTGTATCTGCCAGTGTGTGGTCAGCCATCTGGAGTGGAGTCTCCCTCCAATGGTGACCAAGAGGTACTGCGGGCTGTGGAAGTATATCACGGCTGGTCTTATATACGGTTTTATATATTCAAAGCTAAGTCCCCCTTATTCCCTCTCACCCCAAGTCACAGCCACACGTGCACGCCTAGGTTAGCCAGTCGCTGTGGGCGTGGCGTGTGGGTGAACTCTTGACAAGCACACAGTTAACTCTTTGATCGCCCCAGATGTTAACCCCTTCCTGCCTAGTGCCGCTAGTACAGACAAAATTTTTTTTTTTTTTTTACTGGACATCTTTAATAGCAAAAAGTCAAAAATATTTTTTTATTTCAAAATTGTCAGTCTTTTTTTTTTATAGCACAAAAAATAAAAGTGCACAGGCGATCAAATACCACCTGAAAAAAAAAAGCTGTTCGTGGGAAAAAAAGGATGTAAATGTAATTTGGGTGCAGCTTTGCATGACCACGCAATTGTCAGTTAAAGTAACTCAGCGCAGTAAAAATGGCCTCATCAGGAGGGGGGGGGGGGGGGTAAATCCTCTGGAGAGCAAGTGGTTAATAAATGGTAGGACTGTTGTATGTGTGTGTTTTATATTATTAGAACATGGACCCTGAACCTCCAGACAAGCTGGGAGATCAAAATAAATCAATCTCTCTCACCCAAAGTCATGGCAGTATATAAAAATACACTCAGCAAAATCTGAACCAAAATTCAAAACGGGTGTCCCTATACCATGGCGGATCAAAAATGTCTCCCCCTTAATAGGAATAAGACATCACATGAAATAACCTCTTGGCTGTATCCTCCAAGTATCAATATATCAACCCCTCTGCAGTCTTGCACTACTTGGGCTCCCTGATCACTGTGGTGGTAATCGCATCATCTCCACCACCAACTGACCAATCCCAATAGAGTACAGCTAGTGACTGGTCTCTGTTCCAAATGACCACCATTAACAACCACACTTCCATATCTATTATCCTTTATCCAGCTGCATATCCACTGAACCGAGCCGTATCTTGTACAACTTCTGAGATCCTTGAGTTTGCCTTTACTAAAATGAAGATAAATATGTCCCCAGTGCCACCCTGGTCTACATCATTGGGGATCACAAATTTCAGTCAGATACTTCTGACATGATCTGCCCTCAGTAAAGCTGCGCTGGTTTGGGTCCAGCAAGTTCTATGTTTTTAAATTATCATTGATGCTTTTGTTTAGGAGTGATTACATGAATTTTATGTATCATAGTTAGTCTGGCTGAAAAAACACAAAAGTCCATCCAGTTCAGTTATGTCTACAGATGTTTAACTCAATGGGCTGGTAATCTGGTAATAATAAAGAAAATATATACGTATGTAATCCTGTTTTGGGGGTCATATGAGATAAACCTTTTCTAGACCGTTTACATCCACGAATTCACCAAAAGGAGAAGTACAGACAAAGCTCTTCTGGCTGAACTTCTGTGGATCGGAGGAGTGCAGTTCGTTCTGCACTCCTGAGACTTAGTTTTTCAGCTGACAGTGGGCTGAAGCCTGTCTTCTGACGTCACTCATCTGGTCCAGGCTGGTGAAAGATCCCGACTTTAAAGTCCGGAACCACCCCAGAGTCTGGAGCAGCACTTGGCTCAGCCTCTCAGCGATCCACTGAGAGCCTGAGCCAGCCGCTCCCTCCCCAGCCCAGTGCTCCAGTGAGCGCGGGGAGAACAAAGCAGACAGCGATGACTGACAGTCACATCTGTCCGCTCAGAGGGGCTGCGAGAACTCAGCGATCATCGGTCATGTGATGTCTGAGTTCTCACCCTTATAGCCGGCGGGGGACAGATGCAGCATCGGACCAATGCTGCATCCACCTAGGTAAGTATGATTGTGTGTAAATATAACATCCCATACTTCTCTTTTAAGCACCTGGTGACCTAGGAAGCTGATCTTCCCCATCAGTGAGAAGTATGGGGACTTGTATGGTTCCTCTAGTGCAGTGCTTCACTCAGAGGGGTCTGGAGCTTTGCAAGTCATACCCTTTGTGAGATCACCCAGCTCCAGGCAGTTACATTTCTTGCAGTGATGCCGGTCTAGTCCTTATGTGTCTATTAAGGGGTTTTATTGTGGAATAGAGTGAATGAGTAGAAGGAGAACTCACAATCTGCTTGTTTCTAAACCTTCTCTTGCTGACAGTCCTTGGATGGGATTCATCTTCAGGGGTATACAGCAAGCTACAGTAACTCTCCCTGAAACAGAAGTTCTAGTGGGTGCGCTGTACGAGGTCTCTGACGGTCTCTTTAGTCAGTGGCAGTTCTAGTGGGTGCGCTGTACGAGGTCTCTGACGGTCTCTTTAGTCAGTGGCAGTTCTAGTGGGTGTGCTGTACGAGGTCTCTTACGGTAGCTTTAGTCAGTGGCAGTTCTAGTGGGTGTGCTGTACGAGGTCTCCTTACGGTAGCTTTAGTCAGTGGCAGTTCTAGTGGGTGCGCTGTACGAGGTCTCTGACGGTAGCTTTAGTCAGTGGCAGTTCTAGTGGGTGTGCTGTACGAGGTCTCTTACGGTAGCTTTAGTCAGTGGCAGTTCTACTGGGTGCGCTGTACGAGGTCTCTGACGGTAGCTTTAGTCTCAGTGGCAGTTCTAGTGGGTGCGCTGTACGAGGTCTCTGACGGTAGCTTTAGTCAGTGGCAGTTCTAGTGGGTGCGCTGTACGAGGTCTCTGACGGTAGCTTTAGTCAGTGGCAGTTCTAGTGGGTGCGTTGTACGGGGTCTCTGGCGGTCGCTTTAGTTAGTGGTAGTTCTAGTGGGTGCGCTGTACGAGGTCTCTGATGGTAGCTTTAGTCAGTGGCAGTTCTAGTGGGTGCGCTGTACTAGGTCTCTGACGGTCGCTTTAGTCAGTGGCAGTTCTAGTGGGTGCGCTGTACGAGGTCTCTGACGGTCGCTTTAGTCAGTGGCAGTTCTAGTGGGTGCGTTGTACGAGGTCTCTGACGGTAGCTTTAGTCAGTGGCAGTTCTAGTGAATGCTGCACTGTTCATTATATCTAGTGTCCCACATAGGATCTGTTAGGGTGAGGTCTTCCTGGATCATGACAACTTCTACAGGAACACAGCCTGTGAGAATACGAGGCCTCTGGACATGGGCTCCAGCCCAGGAACTTCTAACAGGCACAGCCTGCAGGCTAAGGACACTTCAAGAACAGAGCTCAGCCTGCTTGGTCCTGGTAGTCTAGGCTAAACCTTAACGTGTGTCACTAAACCCACAACAGTAAAATCAGTCTGTATATACAGTAAAGAATGCTTGTTATACTCACTGTGGAACCTAAGGGGTTAATCCTGCACATTGTGTGTAAAGGCTGTTTGATCCTGTCTTCTCTGATCCTCCCCTTCTACTGACCCCAATCCATCTGCTGATAGAACAGAGCCCTAGGAGGCACTGTGCACAAGCTCAGTTTGGTTTGTATTGCTAGTTTTTTTTCTTTGGGGAGGGTGCATGTGATCAGCACAGGGCCAATCAACACTATCCTGACAGAGGGTCATGGGTTATGCAGCCTCATAGGACAGTCAGAGCTGAATAAAAACTGCTACAAGATTTAACCAGTGCTCTGCTGATAGAAGGCACAAGACCGCTATATACTGCTGATGAGAAAAGGTATTTAGCAGTTTATATTTACTAAAATAATTGCATTTCCATGCTGTGTTGTACTGTGGCAGACCAGATATAGTGAATGCAGGGTCCAGGGAGACCGGATATAGTGAATGCAGGGTCCGGGGAGACCAGATATCGTGAATGCAGGGTCCGGGGAGATCAGATATAGTGAATGCAGGGTCCGGGGAGACCAGATATAGTGAATTGCAGGGTCCTGGGAGATCAGATATAGTGAATGCAGGGTCCTGGGAGACCAGATATAGTGAATGCAGGGCTCGGGGAGACCAGATATAGTGACTGCAGGGTCCGGGGAGATCAGATATAGTGAATGCAGGGTCCGGGGAGACCAGATATAGTGAATGCAGGGTCCTGGGAGATCAGATATAGTGAATGCAGGGTCCTGGGAGACCAGATATAGAGAATGCAGGGTCCGGGGAGAGCGGATATAGTGAATGCAGGGTCCGGGGAGATCAGATATAGTGAATGCAGGGTCCTGGGAGACCAGATATAGTGAATGCAGGGTCCGGGGAGAGCGGATATAGTGAATGCAGGGTCCGGGGAGAGCGGATATAGAGAATGCAGGGTCCGGGGAGACGGATATAGTGATGCAGGGTCCGGGGAGACCAGATATAGAGAATGCAGGGTCCGGGGGTTAGTAACACTTTAACAAACACCTCGGGTATTGGCCAGCTAACAGACAGGCAGACTTTCCTGTGTCACACCTCTGACACAAACATTCTTGAGTCTACACAACATAATCTAGCAGATAATGTGATACTGAAAACTCCCAAACAGAACATTCTTAGAGAGGCCTTACTAGCAGAAATACACCTGTAGGGTCCCTGCTTTAGGCTGGAGTGTCTCTGGATAAATTATTTTCCTGGCTATGCTGTATTCAATGGTGTGTTGAGCCATCGGAAGGGCAAGGGTGGTCAAATATCCATCTCATGATGCTCACTGCAAAGGGGGGACACCAAATCACCCTCCATATCCCTCTATAATCAACATAAAAAAATGTGTAAATTAGGTACAAAGCTTTTTCAGAAGACCTAAAAACTGAGATTCTAGTTAATGTATGAAGAAATGCTGACCGTAATATAGGACAAGGACTGGGGAGGACCATGTTCCTTCAGATGAAATGACTCCAATTCTCCCCCATCCTGATGGCACCTATCAGACAAGAGTCAGTGTGGAAGTGCCAACCAAGGAGGGAGACTCTTACTCCTGTCATGTGGACCACAGCAGCCTGGAGGATGTTCTTTCTAAGAAAGTAGAAGAAAGTTTAATTAAAAAAAAGCTAATCATGAATGCACCTGAGGTCTGCCTTTATGGTTGGAAAGATATTAAAAAAAAATGTTTAGGTCTTTTTTAAGTGGAATTTAACAAAATATCAATGTAACGTGTATTTATTCCTGCCTCCTGATATATGTGCTCTGTACTGGGCACCACTAGAGCAGGTATATTTTATATATGATTCTTCCACAGTGTACGCAGTTTTGAAAAGTGCTGATTGCACTGATAGACAGTCTGAGTTTGATTTACTAAAGGCAGATAGACTGTGCACTTTGTAAGAGCAGTTGTTCCAGGTCAGTAAATGAGGGGAAGCTCAGCTGACGTCCATCATCCAATCATGCGCAAGCAAAAGTGCAGTTTATTATATTTTCTTTGCATGTGATTGGGTATCTTCTGTGTGAAGAGAAGCTTCCAGCGCACAGGATTACTCAACTGTTTATAGGACTCCAGAGAGATTGTAGATCTGGGGCAGGAGAGACACACCTTATGTCCAAAATGTAACCTACACCAGGGAGACTCATATGTTTTGGCATTGTCCAAAGCTCGCTAGATATTGGGCCGAGGTTTTTTATGTCCCTTCTCCTTAGTTTCCCAATCTTATGTTCAGCTAGATCCGTCATATGCCTCTTAGGGGCAGTAGAGGCTGAACAGTACCAACCAGGAGTGTATATTATGGTTTCTCGCCCGCTATACCTTGCTAGGAAACGTATAGTCACGGGACCAATCCCTGCGGTTAAGGCAATGGTGAGGCTACAGTCCTGTGTGCAGGAGAACTGCAGCCAGTTACCCCCCCCCCCCCCCCACCCCCCCCCCCCCCGGCACCGATGAGGAAAAAGGAGTTCCAGTGTAACTTTAGTGTGGAAAAAGTAACAGGATTTGTAATGCAGACGAGGCATACTGGGCTGATTTACTAAAGCCAAATAGACTGGTCACTTTGCTAGTGCAGTTGTACTTGCTGGGGAATTTGCTCCAGAGCTTAGTAAATGAGGCAACACTCTGCTTACTCCATCGTCCAATCATGTGCAAGGAAACATGCTGTTGTATATTTAATTCCCTTGCATGTGATTGGGTGTTCCTAGTAAATGAGGTGAAGCTTCACTTCCCTTGAAGAGTTCAATCGCACTTGCAAAGTGAACAGTCTATTTGCCTTTAGTAAATCCAGGCCACTATGTCACGTCTGCAGTATATCTGCGTACCTGTCTGTCTGCGCTGTACACTGAGCTGTGCGCAGCACACCTCAGCCTATCATTTCAGCAGCGTGGAGATGACTGAACTCCTGCGCAGTGGCGTCCCGAGGCAGGTGCAGGGGGGGCGGTCCACACTGGTGACACCGACAGCACGGGGTGACACCGGACCCGCTCCAAGAAAAAGTAAGTTGTAAAGCAAGCCGACGATCCCCGCAGGATGGATCGGATCTGCGGATTGAGCATAATGGTTTGGAGTCTGATCATCATGCTCAATCCGCTGATCCGATCCATTCTGTGGGGATCATCAGAGGGGGTGTTACCGCACCGTGGTGACACCAACCCTAGGGACGCCTCTGCTCCTGTGCATACGCGGGAGTGACATCATCGCAGCCTGGCCAATGACAGCGGACGGGGATTGATACCTGGAAACAAATGATACGTGTTTTACATGAGCGACGTGGCTGATAACATAAGTCTGTGGGTGGGAACTTGGTTTTGGGATTGTTTACACCAGCAGTGCCCTCTAAAGAGTGATGTGCAGTGGATCACTCTTCAAAGGACATTTGACACGGGGTGAGGAAGCATGATGCTGCTATTGTAACCTCCAAAGACCCACATGTGAACCCAAAGGCGGGATCGTTTGTAAAAGCATCCTGGCTGTGGAGTGAACATCCCACTCACTACCATGGCAGTATCAGTAGGAGCAGTTGGAGGGCAATAAAAATGTTGGCTCAACCGCAACCTCCAACTGCAAAGGTAAACCAGCCTTATGCAGGCCATAGACGGGTCGTTTTTCGGCCAACAATTTGGCCGTTCTGTTGCCACCAATACTTACGAAAATCAGCCGTTTTTTGTAGATTTTCCAGCATGACCAATAAAAGAAACGAGAAAGAACTGGGAAAATCGGCCGATGACATTGCCCACTAATGGTGCAAATATCGGCTGATTATTCTTTCGGACGAAAATTCGGCAGATAAAATGACCCGTCTATGGCCTGCATTTACTGTCAGATGATGTAACTGCAAATAATCTGTCAGCTGATTTCAGTTGGAAGGTAAAGACAAGCCCAGCGTACGACTCCAGGAGTTTTCCGGCACCTTAGAAGCTGCAGGTGTCATGTACAGCCTGTCATTCTAGTGGTTGGCTGTGTGCAGTCTTTGCTTGTCAACACGCATGCTTCTGCCCATCGGCATTTACCCCCCACACGTGTGTACAATGCATGTGGGTACACAGCGGGTCAGTGTATGGTAATTCTGTCATATGTACACGTGTGGGGGGAACAGAGATGCACAGAATCATTGACAAGAATACATACAGCCATTCAGTTTTATGGCGGACTGTACATGGAACCTGCGACTCCCCAGGCATGAGAACACCCCCAGAACTTTACACTGGACATATATTCCCCCTCTCACCATCCGTGTGCATGAGATCTAAAATATGACATGTCTTCTATATAAAGTATCATTCCCTGAACCTTCAGATTCTCAGTGTTCCCTCCATCTCATGGGTCTCTCTCTTTCAGAACCTGACAATGGCGCCCCCTTGCTGGGATTCTTGGCATTGCCTGTGCTGCTGTTCTCATCGCAGTCGCTCTTGTGGTTGGAATTGGTTTATATAGAAGGAAGTGACAGATGATCATTTTTCTCTCAGAGGTCACTTCCTTTCACATTATAAATGAATGGACTTCAGATGAATTTGATTGCTTAAAGCGACAAGTATGGAAGCAGCCATTGTTGGCCCCCGAGAGGTTTAGAGCAGTGCTGGGTCCAGTTACTCACCCCCTTCTCAGTTCGGGCCCCCACATTAGTAAACAGAATATGTCCTCAATATTCCAGGTGAACTCACACTTACTGTCTTTCAACCCAGGAGACTGAGGACATATTGTAAATGTAGGGTGTCATGCACCTGATTTTGAGGGGCATCACTAGGCACCCCGTACTCATGGTGTATTGGTGCAGAGAAGGTCATCTCCAAAAGTGTGGCCCATGGGTCAGATGTGGCCCTTTGCTTGGCTTTATTCTGGCCCTTGGGGTATTATTCCTCCCACTTATACAAGGCACTACTCATCTCACTGACAACATAGATAAGGCATCATTTTTCCCACCGGACACCAACAATGGGGCACTATTTACCCTAGTAGGTGGGTGCCCACTGACACCAACAATGGGGCACTATTCCTCCCACTGACACCAACAATGGGGCACTATTCCTCCACTGACACCAACAATGGGGCACTATTCCTCCACTCGACACCAACAATGGAGCACTATTCCTCCCACTGACACCAACAAGGGAGCACTGTTCCTCCCACCGACACCAACAATGGGGGGCACTATTCCTCCCACTGACAGCAACAATGGGGCACTATTCCTCCCACCTGACACCAACAATGGAGCACTGTTCCTCCCACCGACACCAACAATGATGGGCCACTATTCCTCCTTCTGACACCAACAATGGGGCACTATTCCTCCCACTGACACCAACAATGGAAATGCACTATTCCTCCCACTGACACAGCTTCACAAAGACCTGCTCGGGTTGTACAGTAAGGTTTAGGTAATATCCAGTCTTAGGTCTCACTCATACATTGTAGATTTCCATGTGTGCTGCAAGTATACTGCCAATACCTTCCTGTACACCTGAGTGGCAGGCTTGAGAGCCAAGGGCTGTCCACTGCTGTGAAACATGTATCTGCCCGTCATGAGGTTACCTGACTGTTAGGGACAAATGTCCAAGCCTGGATGCAGAGAGATTGGGTTCGAGGGCAGACATGTATCCCGACCTGCAGGTTAACATGACATGACATGTATCCCGACCTGCAGGTAAACATGACATGTATCCCGACCTGCAGGTAACATGACATGACATGTGTCCTGACCTGCAGGTAACATGACATGACATGTATATCCCGACCTGCAGGTAACATGACGACATGTATCCCGACCTGCAGGTAATATGACATGACATGTATCCCGACCAGCAGGCAACATGACATGACATGTATACCGACTGCAAGTAACATGACATGACATGTATCCCAACCTGCAGGTAACCTCAGGACATCATAGCCAGTGAGGAGTGTGACGGGCGCAACTGCAGCGTCAGACCCCAGCTCTTCTCACCAAACTTTGTGACCGAAGGACTAGCCAATCTAAAACCGAGCTGTGACGTGCGTAACAATGCCACGCCCAGCTGCACCCTGCACAAAGATTTTCCAGCTAATGGACACACAACCTGTGTGTCGGCTGCCTGGGAGTGATTGTTACTGGGTCAGGTTAATTACACAATTAACCCTTCACACTGTCACCACCTCCTTTTTGTACAGAGAAAGAGGAAACTCGGCAATATCAGCAATAACACTATGAAGGTTGAATAATCGTCGGTGTACCACTGTCACCGCAGGCAGAGATATACCGAAATTTAAAAACACAGACAGTAGCGCTTTTCAGGGGTAGGGATTCTTAGTTTGCAGTAAGGAGCTTTAGAAACAGTTCAACACTTTGAGAAAATAAGATTTATTACTAAAAGGTCAAAAGGGTGCAATAAAAATATTTACAGAAAAAGATGTAGCCTATATATATATATATATAGATACAGAAAACAATAGCACAGCAAAGAGATAACAGAAAGAGGTTTAGAGGGTTAAAGTACTTGCCAACGTCCTGGTTTAAGCATATCAGGTTTCATGAGCCAAAAGGATGCCTTATCTCCCAACGTTCGTTCCGATGTTAAAAAGGGAGAATTCTTCAACTCCCTTAACTCAGCTCAGCTTTTTCTAGCAACTCCACAGGGTGTCTCCCTGAAACAGAGAACCAATCGCCTCATTTGGGAAGGGAGTTGTAGGTGGAGACCTCAGGCTATGACCAAAGCCTGCACAAATTATAATATGGTTCATAACTTACCCTGGATACATATAACATTCTATCCACGAGTAGATTAAATACGCAGAATCTTCTGCTGAATGGTTAGATATGAAATATCCGCTTGAATGGTTACAGAGATATAATTTTCTGCTCTCCTGTATATGCCAGCTAGGGGTTGTAATATACCAGGAGACTTATTTTAAAGTCAGCCGTCGATCCGTCCGAATATGTGCTCCATGTTTGTGTAAATATTTTCTATTTGAAGATATAAACTTATATTGAAAAGTGAGATTTTAAATGTAAGTATGTTTTTTACGACCTCCTTTTGAAGCTCAGTGAGGGCTCGGTTTATGGCTTTACGAGCCCTTCTCTAGCAAGAGTCTGGCAGACATCAGGGAACCTAGCTAGTGAGGTTTATAGCCATGACGCCCTCCCAATGAGTTTGTTGCCTGTGATTTCTGCAAACACACACCGACCACATTCCTGAGGAAGGGGGGAAATCGGAAGAGTAAGACTGATTTGGGAGAGAGAGAGATACAAAATGGAGGGGTTTGGAGCAAAATGGATGACCGCGTCCATCTCTGTGTGCATGATTGCTACACCGGTGACCATGTGTTCCCCCTCCCCCTAAGCAAAAATATCTGCCATTCAATAAAAACCTCCCTACACTAGGCACATCTCTGCCCAAAGCACCCTTTTTCCTCCAGCAGCCCCCTAAAAACTAAATTATCCTCCTCCAAGCAAACTCTCCTCCTAAAGCAACCTACCAACCCCACCCCAACCATCTCCCCTTCTCCCAGCAATAAATATAGCCCCCCGTCTCTAAAAACCCCCCCCCCCCCAAAAAAAAATCTGGCAAGACCCTCCTAGGCAAAAAATTCCTAAACCTAAAGAAAACCTCCCTTCGTTCAAGCAATCCCCCCCCCCCCCCTTAAAAGCAAGTCTCTGCGTATAACCACCCCTCTGTAAACTTCCACACATAAAACTACCCCCCTTCCCAAAAGTGAAACCATCCTCTTTCCCTAACCCCCCACCAAAAGAAACTTTCAAAGGCATGAATTCTCACGTCCTCCTTCCACCAAACAGAAGGTCTATGCCTTTCCACTTACCAGACCTTAGATTCAGGGTGTCACAGAAGCAGGAGAAGTTCTGCCTCCCTGCTCTCCCTTTGGTTCTGCAGAGCAGAGGAGGAGTCCGAGTTCCTTTGGCTGTGCGCTGTCATTTGCCAATATGTGTGTGCTGTGCGTCTGTTCTTAGCATCGGCACCTTGCAGGGGATGGGGTAGGTGCCTGGGCAAGCGAGTTTCAGGTCTCTCGGGACCCCCTTATTAAACTGATAGAGCTTGAGCTCCTAACAGGGATACGGACCTGACAGATAACTCCATTTCTACTGTGCTGAGGATGAGTGGCACAGCAGCATAGACATTGACTGGCATTTTGGCAGGTTTCTGGGGGGGGGGGGTTGAACCCCCTAAACTCCCCCCTTATCTACATCCCTGTACTACTGCATGTAGTACCCGCCACACTGGTATCCCTTTTTATACCTGTAAAATTAAAAGTCCCGGTTTGACTTGAATGCCCTTCGTAGTTCGTTTGGACCAGGACTACTTTCCTTCACTAAGTTCTACATTGGCTCTGTTGTGTTTACACTATTTGATTTTATTATTATTTCTCTGTGACCATCACTTGTTTATTATTGCTCTGTGTCTTTAATCTTTCTTCTCCTGTCTAAGCTGAACTCTTTCTCTCACCGTACTTGTGTATACCCCTCCCCCCTGCCTCTCTCTGGTAGTCATCCTACAGTATCCTGTCCTCCTGTATGCATCTTTTCATGAGGCTTATAACATTAACGTTTTTTTCTATCTATGATTATCCTCCATTAAACAGAACATTTGAATGGTTTTTCCTCATCTGACTTCCTCAACATGTGAATTTATTCATTGAATTAAACTGTCTGACCCGATGCAAGAGATAGATTCAACACCACATCATATAGCTGTATACATTGCTGGAGATGAAGTTTTATCGTCTCGTAGTTGAGTCAGAACAGGCTCTTAGCACTGTATGAGCTGTATATATCTTCAGCTACATACAGTACACAGTGCTGGGTTCTGGCTGTGAGACAGAGACTCCCTCCTCACACCTGAAACAAAACAGTCAGTCTAAGCGGTGCTCAGCCAATAACAGCCAATCATAACCATTCTTTCATAGCTGCCTATGAATGGCTGAGCACTGCTCATCCCGACTCTGCATTGTTCCGGGTGTGAGAAGGGAAGTCTCTGTCTCAAAGCCAGAACCCAGAACTGTGTACTGTATGTAGCTGAAACTTCATACAGCGCTAAGATCCAATGCAGCACTTAGTGAAGGACATACTTCCTATGGACCAGCTTGGTCCAAACAAAATTATTTAAAGTCACAGGAAACATGGAATCAGCTTTAATGTATATACCTAAAGGCAAAATCTTTCTTTAATTTTGTACAGAGTGGATAGGGATCAGACCAACTGTCAGGTGTTTATTACTGTTAGTGCCCCCACTAGTGAAGTTCACCCTCTCTCTGTCATGGTTACTGTTGTCACTGAGCGTGAAAGCAATTCCTAAATTCCAGGTTGTCACCAGAATAGGAATAAAGGGGAAATCTTTTTGGGGAGACAATAGTTCTAGTGACAACAGAACTACTTTATTTTGAAGGGATTTCCTCTCACTCCCTGTCATGGATGTATAGGGCAGGAAGTGAAAGGAAATCTTCCCTATGGGACACAGATGTAAAAAATAACTGACAGGGGTTATAACCCTCCCCTACTTTAAAATGATAAAACAGTTTTCCATTTAAAGTGTTACTAAACCCCCAACCCTGCATCCACTATATTTGGTCTCCCCGGACCCTGCATCCACTATATCTGGTCTCCCTGGACCCTGCATTCACTATATATGGTCTCCCTGGACCCTGCATTCACTATATCTGGTCTCCCCGGACCCTGCATCCACTATATCTGGTCTCCCTGGACCCTGCATCCACTATATCTGGTCTCCCTGGACCCTGCATTCACTATATCTGGTCTCCCCGGACACTGCATTCACTATATCTGGTCTCCCCGGACCCTGCATCCACTATATCTGGTCTCCACGGACCCTGCATTCACTATATCTGGTCTCCCCGGACCCTGCATCCACTATATCCGGTCTCCCCGGACCCTATATTCACTATATCCAGTCTCCCCAGACCCTGCATTCACTATATCCGGTCTCCCCGGACCCTGCATTCACTATATCCGGTCTCCCCAGACCCAGCATCCACTATATTCCGTCTCACCGGACCCTGCATTCACTATATCCGGTCTTCCCAGACCCAGCATCCACTATATCCGGTCTCCCCGGACCCTGCATCCACTATATTCGGTCTCCCCGGACCCTGCATTCACTATATCTGGTCTCCCCGGACCCTGCATTCACTATATCCGGTCTCCGCAGACCCAGCATCCACTATATCCGGTCTCCCCGGACCCTATATTCACTATATCTGGTCTCCCCAGACTCTGCATCCACTATATCCGGTCTCCCCGGACCCTATATTCACTATATCCGGTCTCCCCGGACCCTGCATTCACTATATCCGGTCTCCGCAGACCCAGCATCCACTATATCCGGTCTCCCCGGACCCTATATTCACTATATCTGGTCTCCCCAGACTCTGCATCCACTATATCCGGTCTCCCCGGACCCTATATTCACTATATCCGGTCTCCCCGGACCCTGCATCCACTATATCCGGTCTCCTTGGATCCTGCATTCACTATATCCGGTCTCCCCGGACCCTGCATTCAGTATATCCGGTCTCCCTGGACCCTGCATCCACTTTATCCGGTCTCCCCGGACCCTGCATCCACTATACCCGGTCTCGTCCCCGGACCCCACATTCACTATATCTGGTCTCCCACAGTACACAGAACATAGAAATGCAATTATTTTAGTAAATATAAACTGCTAAAATACCTTTTCTCATCAGCAGTTAGAGCAGTCTTGTGACTTCTATCAGTGTCCAGCAGAGCTCTAGTTAAGTCTTATAGGAGGAGTTTTCATTCTCCTGTAAGGAGGATGCAGAACCCCTGACCTCTGTCTGGACAGTTCTGATTGGCCCTGTGCGGATCACATGCACTCTCCCAAGAAAACAAAAAAAACTATCAATACACACCAAACTGAGCATGTGCAAATGCCTACGGTGCACCCTGGAGATAAGTGGTGGTCGCTTGAAAAAGGGGAGGAACAGAGAAGAAAGGATCAAACAGCCCTTTTACACAATGCAGAGGATTAACCCCTTAGGTACACAGTGAGTATAACAAGCATGCTTTACTGCATATACAGACTGATTGTACTGTTGTGGGTTCAGTAACACTGATTCTGCTTTAAGACGGTAGTAAAGTCTCTTGAAAAAATAAAAAAAACACGATTCCTCCAGCAAGGTTATATCATAATGTGCCAGTATGCATCGCATCGCATCGAATCGCATACCAGCACATTACGAAGGACTTACCCTAAAACGAACCCCTCCAGCGGCACGCTGTCACGGCTGACATGACTTCCATCTTCACCTGGTCCACCTTCTGGGTTCGCACTCTCTGGCCATCTGACTGGCTGAGCTGCAATGACATCACTCCCATGCATGCGTGTGGAAGCACCGGGCACGGCATACAGTTCTGAAGGAACGGCAGGGGTATGCATTTCTTCATGTGTGGGTGACGTCTCCGGCTGCTGCTGCTCTCTGCAATATCTCCTACACAGCGCACGCTTCGGAGATATTCATTTTACCTACAAGGTACGCTTCATTATAAGTCAAGGAACGCACTTTACTTCCACTTCATTCCACTTCTATATGTTGGATTGGTTTATATGCAGAAAAACAATAATAGAGGAGAAGACAGAAATCCCCATATACATTCCGTAATAATACACTATATTGCCCGCAGTATTGGTCGTCCTGCCTTTACACACACATGGACTTTAATGGCCCCCCAGTCTTAGTCCGTAGGGTTCAATATTGAGTTGGCCCCGCCCTTTGCACCTATAACAGCTTCAACTCTTCTGGGAAGGCCATCCACAAGGTTTAGGAGGGTGTCTATGGGAAGGTTGGACCATTCTTCCAGAAGTACATTTGTGAGGTCAGGCACTGATGTCGGGGGAGGAGGCCTGGCTCGCAGTCTCCTCCCTAATTCATCCCAAAGGTGTTCTATGGGGTTGAGGTCAGGACTCTGTGCAGGACAGTCAAGTTCCTCCACCCCAAACTGGCTCCTCCATGTCGTTATGGATCTTGCTTTGTGCACTGGTGTGCAGTCATGTTGGAACAGGAAAGGGGCCATCCCCAAACTCTTCCCACAAAGTTGGGATCATGAAATTGTCCAAAATGTCTTGTATGCTGACGCTTAAGAGTTCCCTTCACTGGAACTAGGGGGCCAAGCCCAACCCCTGGAGGGGGAAAAATGCCCCCTCCACCAAACTTTACACTTGGCGCAATGCAGTCAGGCAAGTACTGTTCTCCTGGCAACTGCCATACCCAGACAAGTCCATCGATTGCCAGACAGGGAAGCGTGATTGGTCACTCCAGAGAACACGTCTCCACTGCTCTAGAGTCCAGTGGTGGCGTGCTTTACACCACTTAGAAAAATATATATGGTGTAGCACTAGATCGTATTAATATGCATATGTATATATATATATAACCATATACATATGCAAAATCTGACAGATAAATATACATAAAAAACACACAGATAAACATACATAAATACACTCCCTTGAGTGTCCCCAATGTAAAAGGGAAGCCAAAAAGCGACTCAATTGATATACAGCAGTTAAAACACAAACTCATGCAATTATAACACACTTAATAAGTGGTAATAGTGAGTAATGAAACAGTCCACTTCAAACATAAGTGTAAAAAACTTCAAAAACGTGAGAGTGCCACTGGTGTCACAATCCTAAAGTGGTCTGAGTGCCCCCCTCACCTCCTTGCAGTGACCACAAGGGCCAGCACGCTTTGTTGTATAGAAGACGTATCCCTCAGGGGCCACCTGATCTAGAAGACCATACTGGATACCACATCAGGGCGCTGTCATCCAGAACTCCTCCAGCCACTGATTAATCTGATGCTGACTCTTTATCACAGGGTCATGCTCAGAGACACAAAGATCTCCCATAGCGGAATTCAGTCATTTTTATTAAAACATATACAATATAAAATGCCCCCTCACATCTTCACACACAATATTGCACATGAAAAAGTCCTCATGACATCCTCATAGCATAGGTATGTTTTACATGCTTTACACCACGGCATCCGACGCTTTGCATTGCACTTGGTGATGGAAGGCTTGGGATGCAGCTGCTCGGCCCCCATGGAAACCCATTCCATGAAGCTCTCTACGCACTGTTGTTGTGCTCATCTGAAGGCCACACACCTGAATCACTTTACTTTAGGGCGGGCCCCCAAATTTTTTCAAAAAATTATTTTCCTTTTTGGGCGTTTTTC